CTCTCCAGTAATTCACCGGAGGAGGAGGTAGAGCATTCGCCCTTTCCAACAGCGATAGGTTCGCGCGGTGCAGGATTTTCTGGGAAATGAGTATCAAGGAGTAGCTTAAGCGATTCCTCTCCACTCATCGCCCAGTTGCCCTCTTCGTCCCTCAGGTATCCCAAGGGTACGGGATTCCTCGCAAGGATTCGCCTAAATCGAGATGATTCATTACAACCTTCTACGGCTTCGCAGAAGTTTCTCCATGACTCGCTCTTGGCCTTTCTTATCTCGGACTTATAGATGCCCAGTCCGATCTTATAGAGCTCCCAGTCGGAGTGTTGTCCACTCTTCCTGGCTTTATTGAACAGGCGTCTACTCGTCGCCCTGAGTTCTGAGAGTTCCACCGTCCACCATTTTGGTCGTACTTTGCCCCCCGGCCTACTCAGCGGGCAAGAGATTTCGATGGCACTCCTACAAGCTGATGTAAACTTTTCCACCATAACATCGATCGAGCCTTCGGTGCTTAAGCTCTCCTGGGGGGCCTCTGGGAGTAATTCCCGAGGTTTTTTACTATAGAGGTCCCAGTTTGTTCTCCTAAGGTTCCTAAAGGGGATACTTTTGGGACGATCTTCGTCCAGAAAAAACTGAATATACCTATGGTCCGAAAAGGAGTGATCATTAAGAACCCTCCAGTCAGAAACGCGGGATATTACAGAAGACGAGGCTAGGGTGAGGTCAAGGACCTCTTGCCTTGCCGCGGTGATAAAGGTCGGTTCGTTTCCTCTGTTACAGATACATAAGTCTACACTTAGAATATAATCAAAAAGTGACTCACCTCTTGCATTTATGTCTGAGCTTCCCCAGCACGAATGTCGTGAATTTGCATCCGACCCAATAATTACGTCGGCTTTCCGTCGCCTCGCTTCGGCTATGGCTTCACGCAGCAGTAATGGAGGTGGTTCCACCTCGTCATCATGAGCCATGTAAGCGGATATGATCCAGAGCTTTCCGGCACCGCTATCCAGGCTGACAGTCACAATGTCCTCGTTGCTGAAATTAGGTAGAATTAGTGCTTTGAGTTCGTTTCTGATGAGCATGCAGGATCTTGGTCTACCTGCTTGATTCTGCACCATCAGCTTGAAATTAGGCGTCCTGATCCCGGAGATACCGCTACTGCTTAGCCACGGCTCCTGGATCAGGACTACATCGGCTCCACCTTGCTCAAGGTGGATAAGGAGATTTGCGGACGCCGCCTTAGAATGTTGGAGGTTTATTTGCAGGATCTTCATCCTCCAAAGTCCGCTCCAGCCACGCCAGTTCGACGTCCTCGTTTACTGAGGCTAAGAGCCTCTCTTCCTCCGCCCTGTCGTAGAACCGTCCGATGCTGACGACGGATCCCTCCGTTGAGAGGGCATCCTCAGCACTTTCCGCCCCCGACACGACGGATTCCACCTCCATGCTCATGGGGGCTTCCTCCGCCGCGGGCTCACGTGCTTCCGGCACCTCAGGAGGTTGAGAGCCATCACCCCTGGAATCGGATTGGTAGACCCTAAGGACTACCCTTTCGAATCCATAGTTGATGACTCCCCTGGACTCAGCGAGAGGGCCGAGGGATTCCGCATTGAGTAGAATCAGCGCTTGCCGATGCGACTCCTCGGAATCCTCGGACCCCTCGAATCTGACAACCCTCCAGTTGTGCGTGGGCAGTTGCGGGTTGCAGTAACGGAGGATTTCCTCAATCTCCTCCGGTGCGGAGGGCTCGGGGGGGAGCCAGACACGGGCCCGCGGGCGGGCAGGAAGATCCTTTTCCTCCACGGCTTCCAGCTTGGCGCCCTCCCAAACCTCCCCCACCAGAGACACTGCAGACTTGTATAACGATGCCGACCGCTCGTCGGCGCATACAATTCTTTTGTGGATGCCATGATGCCACCCACCATCCTCACAGCGCGGAGGTGGACCAGGGTTTCCTCTGACCACCCTTAGAAAGACAGAGGAGATGGCCGCTGCCACGCGCCTCCAGTTTTCCCTGGATATGGTGCCATCTTCTCTGCCTCGATCGAGGACCCCCAGGGTAGTTGATCCCGCCTGCTTAGCGATTTCGCTGAACAGAGCAGGCGCAACCCCATTTCTGGGTCTTTTAGCGTGGGAGCCTTCTCCCTCTTGAGACCTTTGTCTTTTAGGACCCGTAGGAGGCGCACTCGCGTCTCCTTTCGTCGGGTTCTTAGCCTTCTCATCCCGGCCACACAGCACCCCTTTGGCCCACTCGAGCGTTTTCAGATGTTTCTCAGTAAGCTGAGAAGCATCCTGACCGCCATAGCGCTCCAAAATCTTGGTAGCCATGCGCCAGTCGGAGTAGGCCTTTCGGCCCGACGATATTTGCCGTTTAGGCATTCCCGAAGGCTTCTTGTAGGGAGCCTTCGAGGACAGACCCGGAAGACTGGGAGAGGAGCCCGCGCTGGTGCTGGCGATTCCGTCTAGCACCCCCCTTAATCGCTCTCTCAGTCCGGCCCCTTGCCTAGAGACCCCCACGGAGTCCGGTTCCGGCACTCCTGCCCTCCCAGTGGCGACAGCACCTGCCCCCCCAGAAGCGTTTAAGTGCGTCGGCTTCGACGCGTTCTTACCCCCCGAGCGACCATCCGTTAAGGATCCCCCAGAGATGGAAATTGTAGACCGAGGCGGTTTCGCCTCGCGTACCGAAGGTGGTGCTGTAGCCCCCCCAGATGAGCCGGCTTTGGGGGTCGGCTCCGACTCCCCGCCACCGCTCGAATGCTTATGTTTCGTAATTTTGTTTTTTTTGTTTTCGTTATTTTCATTGTTTTTCATTTCTGTTGGGTCCCCACTCAGAGCCGCTATCCAAAACCCGAGCGTGTAGTCGCCTTTAAATGGTCCCATAGCTACCTCTGAACAAGACTATGGCGAGGGTTGACCCATGCCCTTATGGGGTCATGAGTTCAGAGCCGACCAGCGCAAAGACGGGAGTCATCTCAACCGCACCTACACCACCAACTAAACGGCGACGGGAATTGGAACGTACCCTGAGGCCTGCCAGGGTTTTAACGGGACGGGGGGCAGTTGCGGCATTAGCCCACCAGCCATTTCTGCTGAGTGTCACCCCAGCATACTCAGGTGGTAGAATACCGCAACCACCAGCTCAGGGATCGACAAATCCAAAACGTTTCCAGAATCGTAGTCAGAGGACGAAGCCAGGGTCGTTACCGTTCAGGTTAAGAGGCCGTGGAGGCCGCAGGCCATTTGGCGTTACCCAGGGTGCACCACGCGGAGGCGACCTGCTCTACACCCCAAACAGGTAATTTTTAGCAAAAAAAAACCGACTTGAATTCTCATATAAAAAAAAAAATATATATATATATCTCATGATCCACCGATCGGATTTTAACCAGATTAGTATGGGACCTCCTCTGAGACACTACCTTTCTGATGCAAAAAGAGTTTTCGAAATCGGTTAACATGGTCTAAAGTTATGCGGTAACATACATAAAAAAAAAAAACAACCCGTACCATCTCGACCGGCAGCCTAATACCACTCGGCAATTGCGACTCTTCTGGCGGTGCGGTAAAAGGCATACGTAAACGCTATCAGTTGACTGTCTGTGTTTGTTTTCACCACACATTTTTGGTGAACTTTTTGTGACTCCCTCATACTGAATAGCCAAATCATCTCAAGTCACAAAAATAGTCACTAATTGCTAATCTCAAATTTAGTGACTTGAGATGAGACTGAATTACTGAATCCCAGAGTTATACTCATGGAGAAAAATGGGCTATTTGAAAAGAGGGTGTGGCACCTTACAAACGTATAAATTCACCCGCCAATTCGCACTGGAGTTAAGTTATTACTAAAAATCTTATTTATGATACACTTTGGCTAATATTAAAAATATGCATT